ACAAGTCTGACTCCACAAATTAATCATGGAAATAGCTAAGCAAGTGTAGCATGACAAAGCGTTAAAACAAGGATCTGCAGGTGTGAATCACTGAGATCGTTTGAGTGTGTGTGTGTGTGTTTGAAAGAGAGAGAAAGAGAGAAGTGTGTGCCCTGCATGGAAGAAACAAACAGATTATGACTCAACAAGCCTACAGGAACAAACATCTAAGACTAAAGTTACCACAGAGGACTTAAAGGGGTTGAAAGAGGCATGAAAACCCCACCAAATCGTGGTTTGGCTGTTTTTCTTTGTTTGGAATCCCCTTGTGGTCATTTGTCCAGATATCTGTTAGAGGCTCTGCATCTTTTTGTGGTTGTCTTCAGGTTATCTGTTGTTTTGTTTTGTGGCAGCTGTGTCTGTTGTCAAGAGAAACTAACCTCAAAGGACGATCACCGAAGCTTAATGTCAGCCTCTCGGGACCCAAACTAACCCCTGTATTTTTAGAGTTTGTATCCAATGTATCACAGATTCATCCCTTCACATTCACATTTTTCTTATTTGGTCATAAACAACTGATGGAACACAGATGAGTTAAAAATCCATCAGTGCTCCTGAACATTGAGAAATATTATCAATGGAATACAAAAAAAAAGACTTTGTGTTTTTTTTTGTTTTTTTTTTACTTTCATAATCTATGGCTTAACGGTCAGGCACATTTCTCTGTAACTTTATCAGATCCAAATGTATTCAAATGACAAACATTGCTGCTCTAAATCTAGAAATGTCTGTAAGATAAAACACAAGTATGTTGGAATTTTCTTCCACTAGGTCCGGGTAGATTCTCAGTCATCCAAAGAGCTTGACAAACATGTTGCACCACATGTCAGAGCCAAGACTTCAACTCCAACTCCATCTCAAACAGATGGGGCACATTCTGGACTGATGGTTTGACTGGAGACGAGTCGGGTTCCTCTTCCTCGTCTCTCACAGTGCTGACATTTCAGGGTTTTGATGGTTTTCCTCAAAAGCACACAAATTTCACCCAAAACGAGCAGCTAACAGCACAGATCAACATTCTTCTATTATTAATGTTATTGCAGGACTAGAGTGGATGTCACATTACACCAGATTGGTGAAGTCCTACAGACTATCTAATGAACCCAAACACCACACTGCCTCCTGCTGGAGGTACTTTATGTACAACTTAGGCATGTAAAGCATCCTACCAACATGTCAAAGCCTTCCTTCATTTTTTCTTAAATTAGATATATATAATAATTTTTAAATGTACCTGTTCTATTCCAGCAAAAACTAAAGAACCCTGTTTCTTTTTAAAGCCACCCCCCAATGTTTGTACCTCAAATCAGTTGATGGCGTCTGCTTTATGTGTAATCCAAACCAAAAATCTTACACAAATACAACAAACATTCATCTCTAAAAAAGAAAAAAAAAAGGAAACCCAAGACTTTTACTGTCGCATACTGAAGACTGTGAGTATGATTTTCTGAATGCAGGTGTCACGGATGGACAGCAGAGGACGCTGCTGCCTAATGGTCAAGCTTCACGTTACTCTGTTTCTTTATTGTGGGGCGCATAGTGAGTCTGCATGTGATGATTAAAAAGACAAGAGTGTTCATAGTGGATTTTACTAGGACTTTACCAGAAGCTCAACTGTTTATGTTTGTGCTTGATTACAACCAGTTGCAAAACACTCCTGCTTTAAGATTAGAAATGAATCAAAGGGGTCCATTGTGAGAGGATTAGGAATAACACATTTACAGAACAAAGATTTGGTTTCTTGCTGCTGTTTGTGAACGTTTCAGTGCTTCCTCCTGGTTTCTAAGAGCTTCTTTCAAAGCGGCGCCGTACGGGACACCTGGTCAGGATTAATCCCACAGCTGTTGTATGTCCACATACACACACACACACACACACTGACACAAACCTTCCCGTAACAGTGCAGACCACCGGCAGAGGGCACACTAGAGGCCGGTCACACTCTGCTCTGACCTTTAGGTGACGTCTCTCAGGGCTCCTCTTACACAAGATTTGTCCGGAGACTACTCAGCAGTCCACTTTCAGCCGCTGTTTGACCGGTGACATCCCTTTTTCTCTTTGGGGAAAAGCGTTTGGCCATCATGACTCGAAAGGATCCCCCCCCCCCCTCCCCGATGGAACAAGTACTTCCTCCCCTTTCGCCCACTTGGAGCTGCTGACCCATGAGGAACATTCCGCTCGAAATAGGATGTGATTTAATCACTTTACTGCTCGATCAGCCCTGCCTGAGTCACCGTCCCCGACTCCTGGTTCCTAAATGAATCACAGGTCCACTATGTCAGGAGCGGTTTGTGCGCCTCTGTTATTGCATCAGCTGCTTGAATCCCTTCCAGCCAAACAAGCAGCCCTTCCCCAGAAGAGGACCACCCCGTTGCCGAGCGACCGGCAGGGTTTCCAGAGAGTCCAAGTGAAACAAAACGATTGGCTGCAGGCAAAGACCACATCTGATTTCACCTTTAAAAGTCTGAGGGATACTAAGGGCCCTGTATCTTCTACATAAATATGCTGGCGTGCAATACTTTGCTTTTTTTTCCTCACAGCTGGTTAATGTTTGTGAATTCACTCCAGTGTGACGGATGCATGCCTGAAAAAGCTGGGCTCCCTTCCACTCTGAGTTATCCTTTTAATGGAAGAGAGGAGTTAACTTGTGTTGCTAATAGAAGTCTTGTGGTTTCTCCGTTTCCGGGTCTCATGGTTTCATGGAAAAAATCCCGACTGACAAAAACCCATGACATGACCAAATGCTCACCGCTAACAGATTTCACAACACGAGGTGTGTGTGTGTGTGTGTGTGTGTGATAGTGTGTGATAGTGTGATATGTTAAGGTTTGTCTGTTTGCCCAATAAGTCACCAAAGGATTGTCACATGAATAATGAGTAATAACAAGTGCATAAAAAGGAGTGCCAGTCAGGCAACATGGAATGAATGAATGTGCTGTGTCATTTTATCATAACGTTTGCGCTTAGTAGGAATTAGAGCCAAATACCATTGGTACCCACATGCTCAGTAAGCCGCTTAATCGTACAGTATGGTTATTATCAGGATGTATATTCAAGATAATTATTCAAATTGAGTCAGGAAACTTTGATATGTACAAAATCATTATACTTTATCAAGTCCCCTGGTGTGAAATAAGCCAAAATCAAATAAATCAAATGCAAAAACTAAAAAAGGGGAACTAAGTAAATCCTATTTTTCCCCATAAATGGAATGTGGACGTTTATCCCAGTCATAGGATGCGGCTTTCAGTATTATTACAGTCTCTTGAAAATGTTAAGCATGTGGTATTATAATATGTATCATATTTGTTTGAATAAATCAATCAAATCTCACAAATACGATTGGTTTCTGTACTCTATGTTCTTTTTACCGCTGGGGCTCTGAGAGACCCAGATAGAAACCAGAGATGTTTAATCACATTCAATTCACTGCAAATACTCTCCAGCTTACAATCGCAAAACTACTCTCAAGGATAAATCTTATCGATGTCATGAGCTTCTTGAGAGCTGATAAATGTAGGAATTTCCTTTCCACAAATACTATCTTTTAAGGGCTATCAAAAATTATTTTCAGAATCAGCCTTTTGCTGAGATTGTGGACATGTCTTGTCAGTTGTTTCTTGTGTTTTCTGTGTGGATTTCTTTCTGGTTTAGTGGAACGCTGTGATAAGCAGAGTCATGTGTTCTCATGAAGAAAAGTTTTGGGCTCAGAGAATGTGGTTTAAAGAGTCAGCAGAATGTAACCACATGTATTTATCAATCTAATAAATACACAACTGAGGATGCATTTTTCTGCCTTTTTTATTCAGGCCTGTTTAATGTTAAAGCTACACGTTACAGTGTGCGTCTCTTACAATCACATCTTTGTTTAAGTGTAAAAGGTTTTCAACTTACCAGTTTTAAAAATTGCCCCCAATGTGATAACACATGTTACGAGAAGCTCGGTTAACTAAACACCCAGAACTCAAAGTCCAATGACATAACCCATTTATACACCAAGCCATGTTAAAATTGTTAAGTTAAACATGTTATTTTATCATTTGTGACAAACGGTGACATTTACTGAATGTGACCTAAACCCAATCAGGCAGCTCTGTGGTGGAAACTTGAGGCCAGAAACCACTATCCATAAATACACTTTTAACCCACATTCACTTTCATTATTGCAGGTTAACGCACCAACACACAGACGAAAGGACAGAATTGAATACAGAAGTGCTTCTCTATTCTATGAAATCATGGGGATAATCCCCTAAATGAGAGTGTTTTATTCCCAAGGAATATGTCTCTAAATGTTTTTTTTATGGCGATGGATAAAACCAATCGGCCAAATGATATGTGGCCGCGAGTAGTCCTGAGAATAAATCATTGTGAAGGATTTCTTCCCTTCTGTGTTTGCCCTAATTTCATGAGCTTGACGTGTGATGGACATACAGTATGATGAAAACTGGGACAAAAATGGCAACAATATGAAAAGTTCTTTGCATAATTGAAACTAAGGCTACTTCCACCTTATGAGAGACTGGGATTTCTCTCTGAACACTTGCTCTACAGAGTCAGAGCTTTTTAGGCTGGTTGTGATAAAGTACCTAAGGATTTTCTTTTATGTCACAGCACAATACTGGTTAAACCTTAAATATATGCGTCTTTTATATGCTTGAATAATCAGGTCACTCTTAAGTGGATAATATATTAAACAAAAGGGAAAAAAAGAAGCCAACTTAAGCTTCTGTAAATTATTCAAAATGCCAAAATCCAAAGAAAAGTCCCCACAGAAAACCCTTAAGTCCTATTATTATTGCTTAATTTAAATGATTAGAGGAAAATTGAAATTTAAAAAATCGAGTTTTGTACCGCCTCTTGGCATTACATTTAACTGGATTAAAGGTCGTGGCGTTTAAAAAATGTCTGTCTACATGTGTTGAAATGCTCCTTGTTTTCTAGAAACTTCCGTCTATTAGTAACCCTCTGCGTCTTTTCTCGTACTTCTTAGTGTTTTCCGACACTTCTCCGTCTATTCTGAGTACCGTAAACAGGGGGAGGGGCCTGTTTCCAAATTAGGAGTGAATGTGGTTACGTCACCCGGGCCAGCGCCCCTGCTCACCACACGAGCTGGAACACGCGCTCGTTGCCTCGCTCGGGGGGGAAGTTGTGGACGTCAGATGAAGATGGCGTTGAGCTGGAGAGCTGTCAACTGTTTTCGGAGCAAAACAAACGCTGCCGCAGCCTCGTCGGTACTCTGAAAGGCAGCGACGGGCTCCCTGCGACTGCTTTAGCTCGCCTCGACACATTTTTTTACCGCATTTCTTTCTCTTTTTTGTTACTTCTGGGATTCCGTCTTCGCCGGAGAAAAAAAAAAAACATCCTGGAGCGGAGTTGACAGCTAACGTCTCGCGCGCTCAGCTAGCGTTTACCTCCACTGTCTGACCATTAAAGGAGATTTAACCTTTTTTGCTAAGGGGTGGGAGCTAGCCATCGATCTGTAGAGCTGCTATTTTTGTTGACTCGTCGCACACACGGAGCTATTAACCAATCGATAACGGGACAACATGATTAATTGAACTGTTGCTTCTTTTTGCTTGACCAGCCAACTCTGCTAACAACGTCAGTTGAAATCTAACGTTAGTCAGCTGAGCGTCGTATGCCGCGTTGGTTGTTTGTTTTTTTTGCTTTTTATTTGTAGTCAGACACATTTAAGAGGATGTCAGATAACCAGAGTTGGAACTCTTCCGGGAGTGAGGAAGATTTAGAGCCCAGAGATGAGCACCTGCATCCCGTCGGACCGCTGTTCAGCGGGGTCCTCAGTAAGGTAAGTCACCGTTGACTAAATGGGACAAAAAACAACACAAACACAAAAACAACACAAACTGATGAGGAGGTGTCCGGTTATCCAGAATCCCCGTTGAATCATTTCCACGGTCAGCTAAATCCCTTAAATCAGGGTCTGTTTTCTACTACTAGAATCGTCTATAAGCACTTTGTACAGAGTTCAGTATTTGAATTCCATTAAACGTTGTAATGTATAGTTTAGCAAAGTTTGGTTACACCTTCACACACATTTTGGATGAGCAAGTGGGTCCAAATATTTCCCTGGTTTTATGTATTTTCCTTTTTACTGAGGGGCTTAAAGGAGGCCAGCTGCTTATTTAAATTCTGCTATAATTGTAACCTGGATGTGTACAGGCAGATGTCCAGTCAAACTGTAAATATTGGTTTAACAACAGTGTGTGAGGTACAGTAAAACATCGGCTGGGACACTGGTAAGAGTCAATGTGCAGCGCAGAAAAACAGCCATCATTGTGGATTCTGTTCTGCTTTTCTGTGCTAAATAGGCTGTTAAGCCAACTGCTAGACAACTACTCAGTAACCCATTTCGCCATATGCCTCAGCCCACTTTTGTTGGACTCCGTTTCGGGGCCGGCTGATGACAGTTTTAATTCGTTAAGCTCCAAGCGAGCTAATGTGGAATTAATCTCCCTCTACATGGGTTTCGCTCTAAATAGATTGCAAGCTGACCTGCTAACCAAGCATATTGAGAGATTAAGAAGATCTGCATTCAGAAAATCTCACCTGTTTTCGATCATACTTAGCCCCATACACGTCATAATTGAGGATTGACAGACACATTACACATTACATAAAATCCCACATGTCCCACCCAAGGCTTTCCTAGAAATGCAGTCTGCACAGGACCAGCCCACACATGTTGTCTTCTTATGTTTGAGAGTTGATCATTTCAGGGGGAACAATTCCTGTGATGATTTGTGAAATGACTGCAGTAGTCTGAGGTATTTGCTACACATGGATAGGTGAAAACATGAGGAGGGGAGGCATTTTTCACATAAAATAGAGCATAAAAGCATAAGATAGAGCTCCCAAACATACCCAGCAGGCCACTCAGACGGACTGAAGTTACGCTCTCCTCAACATTTCCCACCATAACTTATGAAAATGTAAAGTGCTATGTCACATGACTGTTAATGTTTTTTTTGTTTTCTTTTCTTTCAGTGGACAAACTACATCCATGGCTGGCAGGACCGTTGGGTTGTGCTGAAAAATAACACACTGAGCTACTACAAGTCACAAGACGAGACAGAGTACGGCTGCCGGGGTTCGCTGTGCCTCAGCAAAGCTGTGATTACTGTAAGTGCTTTTTAGTGTTTGACCATTCTGCCAAACTTATGCAACCCTGCAAGTGCGAGTGTTGTTTGTGCGAGAGGAGCTGAAACTCTCATTGTTTAGACCTAAATGGTGCTTGGAAAGCAGACAAATGGATGAATTAGGAATTGTGCAACCGTCTAAACTGTTTAGCCCTGAATGAATGTCTGTTTCAGGGTAAATCTGTGAAACATTCAACACATTTAACCTATTGACTCAACACTTCTTCCATTCTGGATGCTTCCTTCTTTTGCTGTTGCAGCAAATGTTTCGGATTTAGAAGTAGACAGTGTTACACCTGAGTGCAGTAATGGAGCTTCCATGTCACCTGACGTACGCCTCCACAGAAATCCCTTCGCTCCTTTTACCTCAAAATGTCTCTGGATCGCCCCCCCTCAATGCCAGCGCCCCATCTGGTATTCTGTCCATGCAGCTATATTCTGTTTTCAAAAGGAAACGTTTGGAGAAGAATGCTCTTGCTTGGGATGGCCTTTCTCCCTCCCCCACCCTTTCTGCCTCACATGCTTTTGAGAAGTTTTGCATCTGACATGTAAAATGCGCTTCAGATGTCAGGCCGCCACCATATGATTCTCCAGCATTCTTGAGGCTCTGATGAGGAGCTTTATCCCACATTCTTCCAAACCGCAGACCATCGCCCATGTTTTAGTTTTTACCAACAACCCCTGATTGTGTCCAGAGTTGTGCTTCGGGGTGTGTAGCTTGTGATTGTTCAACATAGAGAAACGGCATGCTATGAAGTAACGACAATGCCTGTTACCTAACAGGAGACTTTGAAATCCAGCTCTGTTTAGACATTGTATTCAATGAAGCAGAAACCCATGGGATCTTTAGACTTTTATTCAAAGCCCATAGTCACCGAAGAGGGTTTTATTTTCTTCTTTTAAGTTTTTGTTTTTTAGACGTTCAGTAGTTCACCTTTCATCGTATTTCAGCCGGGACTCGGATCACTCTGTGTCTCTTTCCAAACATTAACAAGGGAAATGCATAAATCGCTGTTCCCAGGCAAGGAGAAGTGGTCTTGGGTATTTGTTCAGGTTTTTTCATTCCCGGCTTATGTAAATATTAACCCGCGCATGGGGCTCTGCTGTCCCCACCTCTCATTCCAGTTTTAATGTGCCTCCTGAGTCTGGAGAATAGATGATGAATGCTCACAGCTCACGCTGGCCGGTGATCCGAAGCACACATGCAGCGTCAGTTGCTACTCTAACAAAGAAGAGTGCTCATATGTGTGCGTTATTAAGGTCAGGGGGAAGTCAGTAGGCTTAAGTTTCACTATGAATGACTTGGATATTAAAGTTGAACTCGACATGTGTGAAACTTCACGGAAGCTGCAAGTTAAAGCGTGAATTTCTTCACTGTGAAAGAACCGGATTCATCTCTCAAAGCGTTTTACAACTTGAGATCAGGGTGAAGTTGGTCTATCTTGTGATGCCAATTCGAGTGGGGGGCTGCTTGTGATTGTGCGATTTTTAGCCTCAGCTCATATGTGGGTTTGCAGCTGTACCAACAAAAAACCCGACAACCTCCACTGCCATTTTTAGATCCCTGGTCAGTTGAATACGAGCACACTGGCCTACTTGTGATTCCTTCTCTCACTGGAATTTGTGAGTAGTACAGACTGGATCCAACGTTTACTTGGCCTGGATTAGTTTGTGACAGTCTGTCGACACGACCGGAGAAACATTAGGGGGTTAACGAAACGGGAAAACGAGGTCAAATCGACTGATCCAACAGACGCCAGGCCTGACGGAAACGCGTGGTGTCTTTTGCCAGGAAATGTGACTCTTCCTCGTAGCAGCTGACTTCCTCCCCACTGGGGGTTCATGAGGGAGGGCCAGGAACAAGGTGCCAAATCTGACAACCTCCCTTAATCCTGCTGATGTAACCTTTCCTTTCCTCGTCTTTGTTTTGAGCCCTCTGAGTCATTGTTTCCTCCTCTTGTGCTGTAGTGATCCCACTTTGATATTTGAGTCTACAGAAAATGATCCTGCCAAATCATTCAAGTGGAAGTTAGAGGACTAAGAATATTAGTCAGAGTTTAAGGTATTGTTTCAGTTGTACGGTTACAAATGACTAGTTACATTAGTTTGACAATATTTGGGTTTGGTTCGATTTAGCTTTTATGGTTGTAAGTCCTTACGTATTGATTTATTTTTCTATTCACATGAGGGTTTTGTGCTTCGATCCATTTCATGCTGGTGTTTGCGACTGCAGACACGTACGCCAGCTTAAGAGGTTGGAGGGGAGAGGACAGATGGGAGTCTTTTGAAGCCGAGTAGTTTATTTTTCAAGAAAACAGAGGGGCTTGAAACTGTTTTCTTGTACTCATCATTTCTGCCATCAAATCACCCGCAGAACAAAACATTCAGGCTTAAACCCTTTCAGGCCCTTTTCAACAGGATTGAAATGCACTCTGGTGATGGTATCTGCCATCTTATCCGTTTTTGGGTGACTTCATGTCCCAGTTTACGCAGAGCCACAAAGAGATACAAGAGACAAGGCAGCTGGGATTCTCCGGCCCCTTTGCTTTATTCTACACGGTGGTTTTCTTCTAGTTGTCTCATCAGCTCACAGAGACGTCCACAAAGCTCAGTCCCCCCCCTCCGTTTTTTCCTGTTTGCTTTCTCCTCAGATAAGGCCCAATCTGACCCCCTTTGTCAGCACGTCACTTTGTCCGATGGCATTGGCCTCCTCATAGTTTATTCTTTCGCCGTTGCCCTGGATCCCAGTTGCTCAAACTAAGGGCAGACTTCCTGCAGCCACGTTAAAAAAAAGGAGTGAAGCCGTGATCCCCGCAGTCAAGAGGTGACCAAAAACAATCATTCTCTCCCTCTCCCAGAAGACAATGGCTTTAAAACTGCCTTCTGACGGGGTCTCAAGCTGCCATCATTCAGTTGCACTTTGAGGGGGAGTGAAGAGTGACTGAACTTTACAGTCTGAAGCAGGACTTTTCCGTCATCCTACTCTCTGCAATACCGTGTAGGAGTGAGCCCTGGTGGTGGTGTGTGTTGTGTGTGTGTGGTTCAGTGTGTTGTCCGCTGGTCTTTTGTGCGTCCTGCGCGGGGTGAAGGATTCCTTCTGCCTCCTTTCCCCTGTGCTCGCTCTCCTTGCCTTTCACTGTGACTTTTCTGCAAAGTGCTGACGGTTAACATTTAAGTGAGGCTCTGACTGACGGATAATGGAGTGCGTTATTAACCGGGAGCATCTTGTGACGGCTCGGATGCCAGGCAACGATTCCAAGTCCCTCTGTTGCAATGAAACGTTAAAGATGCTGAAGTGGAGCTTTTATTGGTCCCCCAATGAGCTGAAATGATACACTGCTTAAGACTGATGTAGATTAAGTACAGTTGTTATAATAATGTTTTTCCTTACAATATGATATTGATCCTGGAAACGCTGGAATCAATAAATGCAGTAATTAAACAAACTCTGCAGCTGTAAATTTAGGCAACAGTTTCTATTTTACGATGCTGATGGAGGGAAGGGCCTTTAGAACAATGCTCAGTGCTGCAGAATGCTTCTGAAAGGCCAGTTTTACGTCTCTGGGGGAAAAAAAATTATTCAACGGGTGCACATTTTCATTCTGTTAACTTCTCCAGGTTGCCCTTCATTAAGAAAAACTCAATTCCCACCCTGGACAATGTTGGTGATCGCCAAGCTCTCTTGTGTTCTTCCTCTGCCAAATAAGGAGGATATTAGCTTCTGCTAATTCTTTGCTTTGTGAACAAGAACAAACAAAAATCGCAATATGACGCATCTTGAAAGTCTGTTCCGCATTTAAGTGATTTTGACACGCTGGTTAAACTTCCTTTTTCTAAACTTGAATCTTTGTGCTTGTGTTGTTTCCTTTAGCCTCACGAGTTCGACGAGTGCCGGCTGGACGTGAGCGTAAACGACAGCGTGTGGTACCTACGAGCTCAGGACCCAGAGCACAGAAACCGGTGGATTGATTCCATCGAGCTGCACAAGGTGAGTCCTGCACGCAGCCGATAATAATCTGATGACACGCCAAAACCCCCCAAATCCGTGTCACTTTTTAAGCAAATAAGCATACCAACCTGGATTTGTGAAAGTGTGTGTGGTTGTGTGTGTTTCTATTAGAGTATCAGAGAGGGGAAGAGAGAGAGGGGAGGAGTCCAGGGAACAGTTATCATCCCTCCACTACTGGTGCGTTTTTTGGCAAGTCTGTAGGAATGTTGTTCTGATACACTTTCACTCAGCACACTGCACTGCCACACACAGTGTGTGTGTGTGTTTATAAAGTACTAGTTCCTCTGCATAAGCATGTTCATTGGTGTGGATAGCGGGAGGGTTGAGCTTGGCTCAGGCTAATCTTGCTCATGGCTGAAATATCCGACATTTTTCGTCCTCTCCGGTGCTTTATACTTTCCTTTTGAATGTCACGTGGTACAAAATATAACGCCTTCTTCTCGCTTTGGCCGTTTCCGGCGTGTGGCTTTGGCCAACTTCCCCTTTAGTTTGCAAGCTTCTCATTTTCATCACTTCCTCAGAGCAAATGCAAATGAGTTGCACAGCCCCACTCAGAAAAGCAGCCTGAAATGGAGCCTCTCATGTGTTAAAAACACGCCTCTGAAATGGTAGCTTATCTGTTGGCACTTTAAGGCCAGGAGACACCTCTAAGTCCCACACAGATCCTCCGTGAGGCCCACCTGTCTAGCCTCTGCACAAGCTCGGATTCTACTTGAGAAGTTTTTCTTATAACGGGTCTCCCTGGCCGACACACCCTTTAGACTGTATAAACACATTCTGTTGCTCACTCAGGCTGCTTAGTTTGGGACCCCCCCCCCCTCCATTCTCCAGTTTTTTTTTCATCTAAGCAGCGGTGACTCAGATGCATACCCGGCCGTCCCACACGCAGCGAGTCACCACTGGAAACTTCCTAAAAGGCTGCTTTCTAAGCTGCATCACTAACCACAGCCGGCGTTGGCAGGGAGACACAAACACCCGGCGAACACAGCAACCCTCCAAACCTTTCAGGGTGCCAAGCGGTTGTCGGGGGCGCAGCCAGTGTTTAGACAAGCACATTTCTACTGTCATCTCAACTCTGTTTCTGCTCATGCAGCTTTTCCTCTCTTATTTTCAATCAACAGCCGCTACAGTTCAGTATCTGCTAAACCTTGGTTGGTGTTTTTTTGTACTCCACTTGTTTTTTGGCCTATTTGAAAGACTTTGTTTACCCACACATCAGGCGGATTAGGCTGAAAACGGACAGGCCGTGCTGTCTGGAGCAGGAGAAGTCACTGGGGTAGCAGCATGTTGGTTAAAGGCCAGGCAGCACTGACTCAAATCCACCGTGAGAGCTACTTCTGGTCATTGACCGACAGTTACCTCTTTCCCATTTTAAATCCCAGCCGCTGCATTAACGCGCTGTGCCCCCTGGTGGCTGAGATTGGAAGCGCGCCTTAAAGGGTCCTTCCTGGGTCTCCCTTCGGCGTAGTTGTGGTTTCTGGAGGGTTTGTGAGAGAAATGAAAGTGAAAAGAGGAGGTTGGGTTTACAGGAAGGGTCTGTTGATGATTTTCCTAGTTTCCTCTGAGAGTTTCTCAATCCACAATGAAGAGTCACAGCAGAGCTGAACGTTTTTAAACAGATTTAGATGGAATTGGTCATTAATAAATCCTGTTCAAACATTCGGACCCAATAATTAAATCTGATGATGCGACAAGAGTCCTGATTCCGTTTACACCTTCAACAGTCTCTTTCTCCTCCTCAAACCTTATCTTTTGTCATTCTTCCTTGGATTGAAGTTTAAAATGAGCTGTTTACTGACCCCCACAGGCCGATCCCGGATATGGCTCCGAGTCCAGTCTGCGGCGCCACGGCTCCATGCTGTCCCTCACCTCGGCCACCAGCGGCTACTCCGCCACCTCCACATCCTCCTTCAAAGTGAGTTCTCCCCCTCGGGCCGAGGGGGAGGCGCTGACCTCAGCGCTCTGCCCCCCAAAACGCCGGCGGGACGCTCCACGGACACGCCCACACCGGCCGCTTTTGTCTGTTTCTCCAGAAGGGCCACAGCCTGACGGAGAAGCTGGCAGAGATGGAGACCTTCAGAGACATCCTGTGCAGGCAGGTGGACACCCTGCAGAGGTACTTCGACAGCTGCGCCGACGCCGTGTCCAAGGACGAGCTGCAGAGAGACAAAAGTAAGCGTCCCGTCGGGCGGAATCTGAAAAGAATCGCGAATGATGTTACTGTGGATCTCCCACCATTTTCAGTTCACAAGTCGTAATCCCTGGAAGTCTGTCGGTGTTATTTTATCCACACACGGCTCCCAAACCGAGTTGAAACGCTGCTCCCAAGCGTGAGGAATGAACCCTTTCATATAAGAAAAAGCATTCCCCGCCGTTTTCTTTTGGGCCTTTTAAGGCCAAACTAACAAAGCAGCCAGCGGGTCAGATAGCAGTCAGCGGGAAGAACGAGGCCGATTCATCCTCATCCCGGCATAAAATATTTGGAGTTCAGAGGAAACATCCACTCAGCGTTGGGAGGAAACTGCGTGTGTGTCTTTGTGTGGGCGTGCTGCGACTCAGACAGCAGCTTTTCTGTGTGCCCCCCCCCACCACCACCACCACCCCCACACACACACACTCACACGCTGGCTGGCTGAACATTTGCTCATGGCAGTCTGCGCAGGACGCCTGTGGACGGCCACAGTGAATGAAACCCTGCTTTTGTCCCTCCTGACCTCCCTCCCTGTCCGTCTCCCCCCATTTTGATGATGAAACCAGAGCATTGTCATGTTGTCCGTCAGTCTCACGGCGCTCGGCGCTGCGGCTGACGTGTGACTGGGGACACTTTGTGCCGCCTTCTCTGGGACAGACGACACTTTTCACTCTCCGTCTCCCTTCGGAATCCAACTTACATCTATTTTCTTGTTTGTTTTTAGTCGTGGAAGATGATGAAGATGACTTTCCCAACACCCGCACAGACGAAGAAAAACGTGAGTAAACGCCCTTAAAGCTTGTTGTTCAAATGTGAAGCCTATTTCTAAGAAAAAAACTGAGAAAAAGAGAGCAATCTGAGCTCATCCAGCTAAAACGCTTCAGCCGAAACCCCTCAGAGTTCAGGTTCGGCCCGGCGTTTGTCCACGCGTGCTCACCCGGTGTTTCTTTTTCTTCGGTTCAGTGTTCCTGTCCCTAAACCCGAAAGGAATCAATGGCATCGACTTTAAGGGTGAGGCCATCACATTTAAGGCCACCACAGCCGGGATCCTGGCCACTCTGTCCCACTGCATCGACCTCATGGTGAAGCGGGAGGACAGCTGGCAGAGGAGACTGGACAAGGTTGGTCGCGTTAATGTCCGGTTTCGGATTAAAGTTCATAAAAAAAGCCCAAACGATAATAACCCGAGCGGAACGGCGTGTGCAGGAAATGGAGAAGAGACGACGAATAGAGGAGAGCTACAAGTCGGCCCTCAACGACCTGAAGAAGAAATCTCACTTCGGGGGGCCGGACTATGAGGTATGTGCTGTGTGGGGGTCAGTGGGATGGCGGCGGCTTTTCGGGAGTTGTTTGTGAGACTGCCCCCCCCCCCCCATGCCTGCAGGAGGGTCCCAACAGCCTCATCAACGAGGAGGAGTTCTTCGACGCGGTGGAGGCTGCCCTGGACAGACAGGACAAAATCGAGGAGCAGGTGGGGAGACGATCGGGTCGGGCAGATATAAAAAAAAAAACACAGAAAAACCGTCCGTGTGTCTTAAAGTGTTCCCGTTTGTGCGTTTAGTGTCAAACCGAGAAGACGAGGGTCCTGCGCTCCACTCCCGTTCCACCCGAAGACGTATATTCAAGCAGCGGCTCGCACCGGTTCTCCCAGAAGGTTTCTGAACCGTTTTTACCCCTCCGCTCCCTCTCATTCAGTTCTCATCTTCTGTCCGTCCACCCCGCTGTAGCCTCGTAGTCTGATGGTCAGATTCAGCTCTGCCCAGGCCAGTCGGCCCATCGGCCAGTCGGCCTAAAGTCAGGGAGTGTCTTGTGTCTCTGACTCGGCACCATGTTGCTGCGTCTCCATTAACATCGGAGGTCAATGGAGGATTATCCTTAACCCAGCATGAAAGGGACATTGTGTAGTATTTTAAGTATTTTATTAGCTAAAATCATTTTTCATTTCTAAATGTGTCCTCATTTGGTGTAAAACTACCTCTACAATGATCTGAGTTCTCATAAGTGAAGAATTCCCTATCTGTATATACACAAGGGGGGTAAGTCCACGGAGGTTTCCATGGTGTTCCGCCATTTTGAAAAACTAGAATGGCAGAGAGGGACATAAAGCAACAAACTAACATGGCAACGTAATTCTCTATCTTGTTCGAGGAGGAATTACATGCTCTCAGTAATGATTCAGAGCAGTTTGGAATTTCTTTTTAAATGACAAACCTCTTAACCAGAGAAAACGGTTTGTTAGAATGCAAAATAGAATTTCCCCGTTACCCGGTAGGTACAGCGTGTACCTTCAGGGTCTCCTCTGCGTGGAGGCCTTGACCGGCCTGGCTGCCGTTTGGCGTCCTGTAAAAGACGTTGGCCGCTCGTCCTCGGCCGATTTGAGGCCACAGGCTGTGCTGCTATTGGCCAGCTGCCTGACAAACGGCATCAGTGAAAACAGGAGGCAGCTAATCGATGCAACAGGCCGAACCAAAGGGGGAGTAACCCGACAGGAAACGAGTCCGACGAATGAAAACTCCAGCAGTCTCGTATCTGTAGCAGCGATGGGCCAAAATGAGTGGGACAAAGCCCAAAATATTCTGTGAACCATGTCTCATTAGGCTCCTGAAAAGCTCCCGTCTCACGTGCTTCTCCGTGTTTCCCGTTCCCGTTCGGCAGGTGGAGGAGATGGTGCAGAACCACATCACCTACTCGCTGCAGGACGTGGGCGGAGACGCCAACTGGCAACTCGTCATCGAGGAGGGAGAAATGAAAGTAGGTTCCTGGCGTCCTGAATCCGGCCGCTGAATTACAGGGGGGTAGGGGGGAGCGGCTGGTGACCGTTTCCGTGCGCCCCCAGGTGTACCGGAGGGAGGTGGAGGAGAACGGGATCGTGCTGGACCCTCTGAAGGCCACCATCTCAGTCAAAGGCGTGACCGGCCACGAGGTCTGCCACTACTTCTGGGACACGGCCTACCGCAACGACTGGGAGAGTAGGTCTCCGTGTTCCTGTGGGGGGGGGCAGAGCGTGGCTCCTCAGGGTGACACTCTGTTGTTTTTTTTGCCTTTTTCAGCCACCATTGAAAACTTCAACGTGGTGGAGACGCTGTCGGACAATGCCGCCATCGTCTACCAGACCCACAAGGTAAGGGCCAGGTAGCTACGGTCCAGGTAGCCACGGTCCAGCCAGCCCCGGCCGGGTCCGGCAGGCCTGGGCCGGGTCTGAGCGGTGTGGGGGGGTCATCTTTGTGCCGCAGAGGGTGTGGCCGGCCTCCCAGAGGGACGTGCTCTACCTCTCGGCCATGAGGAAGATCGCCGCCCGCAACGAGAGTGACCCGGACACCTGGCTGGTCTGCAACTTCTCTGTGGACCACGACGATGCTCAGGTGAGAGCCGGACCCCCCGTCTGAGGCCTCCTCCTCCCCCCCCATCCTCCTCCCCCCTCCTCACCCCCTGGCCGCCGCTCTCCCCCCCCACAGCCCACCAGCAAATGCGTGCGCGCCAAGATCAACATCGGCCTGATCTGCCAGACGCTGGTCAGCCCGCCGGAGGGCGACCGGGAGCTGGGCAGGGACAACATCCTCTGCAAGATCACCTACGTGGCCAACGGTGGGTGGACGCTCAGGTCTAGGTCCGGTCTCCGGCCAGGCCTCAGCGTCTGACCCGAGACCCTCCTGTGTTGCAGTGAACCCTGGAGGCTGGGCCCCCGCCTCCGTGCTCCGGGCCGTGGCCAAGAGGGAGTACCCCAAGTTCCTGAAGCGCTTCACCTCCTACGTCCAGGAGAAGACGGCCGGCAAGCCCCTCCTGTTCTGAGACCAGCCGCTCTGAGAATCCCCACCCCCACCCCAACCCCACCCAGTTCTCAGCTACAAGTCGGTGTGAAGTGCAAATAAGGAGGAAAGGCTTCGGGCTCTTTGAGGCCGGAGTGGTCAGAAGCTGTGAGATTCTGCCTCACACAGAGCTGACCAGCAGGCGGGGGCCAGTTTGTTCCCAGCCCCCCTTCCTCTCCCCGTTTTCCTCCTCTAGGACAGATGTAAAATGTAAAGTCCGATCTGTACGAAAATTTGTAAAAAAAAAACAAGCAGAAAAGCTTTCAGAAAAGTGGCTCCGTTTGGCGTCACGCCGCGCTTTTATTTTTTAACTCCCGCCTGAATTTTTCTGAGATGATGATCTGACTGGCCGTCTCTCTGATGAAAGCACCCGTGACGGGTGCCGAAGGAGAGACCCCACGCTTCTGCCTGAAGAGAAAAAGCTGCTTCTCGGGCTGTTAATATGCACATATGTGGAGTTTGATTGTAAATAGTGTCATTAACTGGCTGGCTGACATAAAGCTTCGTGGCCTTAGCGTTACAGGAACTGTAGACTCAGAGGAGCTTTCAAATCACTGGCCAAGTGCCTCGGGGTTGGTTTTTTTTTTTTACCATCAGTTATCTTTTTTGTTTTAGTCTGTGATATCTGTAAAAACACACAAACGAGGGCCTGCGTTTCCCCACAGGAGCGCTGCCCGGCTGTTCCAGTGTTAAGACGTCCGACTCCATTTCAACGTTTTTTTTAAATTAATTTTTATGTTAAACAAGTTTGAGTAAAATGCTAAACTTGGATTTAAAGTTAAGATGAACTGAACTTTGCCGTTATCGGGCTGCTTTTAAAGCACAAGTTTCAGGGTTTTTATTTGATTTTTTTTATGATTATTTCTACTGGTTTTTCCCAGAGTGGTTTCCACGGTGACACTGATGGCCGTTCAGCAGCCGTCGTCCTTTTAGCCTTCTGACCGTAGAGCTTCCAGCAGAGCGATGGGGGGGAGGCAGTGAAGCCAGGCGCTCCCGCTCAGGCGGGAGGCTCCAGGCTGAAGCTTCCCCCTGACCGTCCAGCTCCTGACCGTCCAGTTACTGGCGTGCTAAAGCTGGATGTAGTTTTTTTTTTTTGCTGTGCTAAACCCGTTGGGACTAACTTAGTGGGATGGACTTACACGTGTACTGTGACGACGGGGCATCTCTTCTGCCTCGGTTTGAAAGTGAAATAAATAAGTTTTTTCCCTCATTTCCCAGCGTCTGCCGCCGTTTGTTCTGCTCACAGAAAAAAAAAGAAGACCGCAAGATGACAGTAGTGTTGTTTTTTTAATAAGACAAATAAAATCTGATAAACGACCCAAAGCGTGCTGAAGCTCCACTGAACTGTGTAAGGCCACTTCTGAAAACACAACAATCTGTAACATCTGTGGTCCGCGACGCTTCATAATCATCATCATAATCATCCCCTCCAACACTTCCGCTCAGGTATTAGTTACTTAAAATAAATTAATATTGCTTTTTGTTTTCCTCCCGTAACAGCCGGTGGGTGGTCAGTAAGAAGCTGGGCCTGCCGGATCGGCCGCCCTACAGTATACACAGTATACAGCAGCACCCTCATCAAAGGGGGGGTGGGGGTGTGGGGGGGGCGTCACACAGGCGGGAAAGCAAAAACACTGAGTAAAAACATACATTCATGGGACAGAAGCGAGATCAACGGTGCCGTCTCAAGTGAGCTTTGGCGAGTGCAATGATCGATAGGTTTTTTTAGTTTTTTTTTTTTAAAGCAACGGTGTCTTTAGATGTCTCGTGTAAACACCTGG